GAGCACTGCTTATTCCTGGCCTGCCTGCAACCACTGTGGAAGTGACAACATGGAGGTGTTAGCTGAGAGAACGTAAGTTTGCACGCTTGAAGGTAACACTTCACCAACAAAGTGAACATTTGTATATCAGTTAGTCGTGGGTGTCACGTTGAATTTGTGAAGAAAACTTTGTTCTTGTGGCGTGTCTCCATGGAAAATGGTGAACATATTGATTTATTGATTGATTAGGGACCATGGTTAACAACAGCAAAACTATATCAAAACATCTGTTTACAAACTCTCACACAACTCGTGTAGTGTAATCCAAGTCTCATTTACGCAGTTGTATGCTCATTATGTCACAAACACATGTTTTCTTTTAGCAAACGCATGTGTTTGGTAAGAAATTAGTGTACAACTGGATAAATGTGACTTGGATTTTACTGCATGAGTTGTGTTAGAGGGTGATTTGATACAGTTAAATCAATAAATCAAAGTTTTCTTGACTAATTCAAGATAACACAGCATGACTAATAGATTAACAAATCGTCGTCTTGTGGGTGAATTATTCCTTTAATCAAAAGTGCTTAATGTTCATGCAGACAAACATTATGGCAAATTATAACTTTATTTTTTGTCTTTTTTCCACAGTCAGATCCTCCACTGTGTTTCTTGTCAGTCGGTGGTGGACAAGCCGGACATGAGGATTCAAATGGAAGTGTTCCTCAGTTCTTCGTTGAATAATTGCACTTTGAAGGTTAAGGTGAGATGAGTGTTACTTTATAAGGTTAATCAAGCTTCAGAAATCAATGTTTCAGGCCTTGTGATAAAGTATTTTTATTATTACACAGTGCAGCTCACGTGTGTTTAAAGGAATAGTTAAATATTTGGAAAATTTAATTTCTTGCCAAGTTAGATGAGAAGATTGATTCCACTCTCATGTCTGTAGATATGGCCAGCAGCCAGTTAGCTTACCTTAGCACAAAGACTAGAAACAAGGGAAACAGCTCACTGGCTCTGTCCAAAGATTAAAAACCGCTAACAGCACCTCTAAAGTTCAATAATTAACATTTTATATCTCCTGTCTTTGATACATACAGAAGCAGATGTGTAAAAGTGAGAATATGCCGTTTTATAGGAAGTTATGCGTCAGACTGTTTCTTGTTTGGGACCAATAACTTCTACCTGGTTTTACAGGTGTCAGTGAGCTGACTTGTTACCTTTGGTCGAGGGCTGGGCATGATGAAGAAAATCAAATATGATATTTGATATCATCGTGACAATATTGCAGGGTTGACTGTTGGTGCCTTTACAAAATATTTACGCAATGTTCTGTTTGATAATCATGAGTAATGTTGATATAATGACTAAAAGGCAAATAATAGAACAGACAGAACAGTCTGGTAAGTACAGAAATTACATCACTTCACTGTTATGCAGCGTTTAAGGATCCAGTTAAATGAAAAATGCATTTTCTGGTTTTAATCATGCGTCCCTGTGTTAACTGATCATTTATCTCTTGTTATACTGTATGCCAAATATATGTAAAAATAATCAGTACTTTTACATGAAAATCCCTGTATTTTCTTTTCTCGTAGAATGGTTTTAAATATCTCATGACTCATCCTGCAGTCAGGGGCATTTACAAAAGTACAGGGCTGCCCCCGACTAAGAATTTTCCTAGTCGACCAGTAGTCATCATTTAGGGCCATTACTGTACGTTCAAACCAGAAGCCTCCAAAGAGGCAAAGTCTCTTGCAGACACCCAAGAAGCACGACTGTCAAAACTTTTTGAGGCAGCTCTTGTCGCTCATCACGTGAATCAGTGAACATTCGAGCTTCGTGCTTGTCAATTTAAAGGAGCCGCAAAGTGGACTACTGGCTTGAAAGCAGCGTGGTTGCTGCTTGCTGTTGTCCAGTCTGTATTTTAATGTCGTTTTGCAAAATCTGTGTTGATAAAATGCTTTGCTTTGCTTTGCAGTATGTCATCCCATTCAAACCAAGCAAGGAAGACTTGCATGCTACGTCGCAACATTAGCCTGCAATTCTCTCCTCTCTTACTAACATTACACACTTTAAAACTCACCAGACCAACCAACCACCTCCATGACGCGGTCCCAAGCCTCAGTCTTTTAATTTTGGTCTCTGTAACCGAACAGCCACACATTATAAAGGACTGAGTGGGCGCGAACGCAAGTAATAAACTTCTCGATATCCATTGTCGGAACAAGTGTGCTGTAGGAACCAAAGTTACACGGCTCCTTCTCTGGGACCCGCTTCATTGAAGCATGTCAGCATTCCGATTGGTTGTAGCCGAACCGCATCAGAGCTCATTACCATAAAGTTAAAAGTGTTTTAACTCCCCTCCGGACCGCTTCAGTCGCTATGGTCGCCCAGGACGCACGGCTGACAACTAGGTCGCCCAAGTCGCCGGGCTCTCATTGAAAATTAATGACTTCCGCCGTTTTGGAAGCTCTGGTTGCTGTTGGTGTGAACATACAGTTAGTCGACTAGTCGCTACGATATTAATTTAATTATTAAATGATATATTTTGGTGGTTTGAGTTGAAGGTGTGAGAAAGAATAGTATCAGTAACATTGATAACACTGTGCTACATTACAGAGAAATACAAAACCGTACTAATGAACCTTCATTAATATAGGCCTATATTTTATCTACAAGTGCACGTCACACACTGAGCAAGCCGCCTGTTAATGACGCTGTGGGCTAATGGGCATGTAGCTACTGACATGTTTCTGGTCGACTAACATTTGGTCGACGATAAGGGGGCAGCCTTAAAAAAGTTCATCCAATCAAATTAGACTTTGGGCGGCTAGCGAATGTAGTAGCTAACAAAGCTATATGGAGCGAAAGAGGAAGAGATGTGTGTTTGGATATCAGTGGGCAAGGCCTTTATTCTTGTTCCACTGTAGCATCGTGTAGCGCCAGATTTTATGCCCGCCCACTTTTTAGTGGTCCAATCAAATGCGAATTATTTGATTTAAACCCCTCTTCTCTCTCAAACAGTTTGTTTTTACAGTGCAGAAGCTAAAAACACTAACTTCTGTTTCACTGGGACCTTAAACCCAGGAAAAGACAACACTGATGATGTTATATAATATAATATCTTTTCTTATCTCATAATATTGATATAATATCTGGACAGAGTCAAGCTAGCTGTTTGTGTCTCCAGTCTTTGTGCTAAGCTAAGTTAAGCTAAGGGGCTTCTTCATATTGCTACAGACGAGGATGGTATTGATCTTATTATGTAATTCTTGGCAAGAAACTTCAAAATATTGCTTTAAACTGGAAAAAAAGGAAAGCAGCAAGAAAAGTACTGTAAAAATATACATCAGAAGAATGACGGTGCAAAGAGCGGCAGTGTGGGAGGGCTGTGTAGCAATCAGATTAGGCAGACTCAAACACAAACAAGCATCCTCAGTCCTGTTGAGGTGTCCTTGAGCAAGACACTGAAACCTCCCTTGGACATTCCTGCACGTCAAAAGGCTGGATAAATAAAACCCTTTACTACATGTGCATCTGCATGACAGCATGTTTATTATGTAAAACCTGCTGGGACTTTGTAATCAGAAAACTAAGTCAGCCAAACTGATAATAAAATGATATCAGAGTTCTTCTTATCAGGCGACTGATATTTCAGCCCATTCTATCAGTCTGTTACACGGCAGCGAGCTCAGTCTGTCAGTGCAGCGTTTGGTTTTACATTGACAACATTTAGGTGATAATTTAAAAGATATTAATGTCCGCTTATCATCTCATCTCTCTCGACAGCTGCAGAAGAAGACGATCATGTCCCTCCTGAACACTGCAGCACTGGAGGGTCACGAGGTAGGTGTGCGTTTACAAACTTGTTACGTAACTGTGGGCTGAGCTGTGCGGCGCATTGATCTTCTGTCAACATGTCCTGAAAACACTGTCATCTGTTCATGTCATGGGTGATAAAGCCTGTTCTGTACTGAACAATAAAATCCCTGAGTCATGCCGGTCACTGATACCAATGAAGGAATTTGCTTGAAAATAGTGACGTGTTCTTTCCTTCATGTACTCTATTTTTAGTGTTTTTTAAGTTTGCATTCAGTTTCTACATTTTAATTATGTTCCTGTATAACTAACATGTGGTGCAGCTGTTTATTTGCGTTGTAGGCATTAACGGTCTTTATCAGGGGAGCTCATGAGTGCAGAATAAATTCTTAGATCAACAGAAATACTGCTGACCAATGAGGGGAGTGCAAGAGCCTTTAGTGCACCCATATTCTTGCAGCATCAGCAGATTTAAAAACTGTTTTTTCATGTGCAGGTAGTGGAGGATATGTTGAACAATAAATATGAGTTGTCAGCCTCAGACGGTCTGTGCAAGTAGTGAATAAAGTGTGTATGTTTCAGTTCCCAGGTTACGATGTGGAGAATGTCCTGGGAAAAGAGGTGGGCCCCCTTGCAGTTTACGTCCGAGTCGTCACCAAGAAACCTGCACTCTGGATCGGCGTGGAAGAAATCTGCCTCTGAGGCTGTCAGGGCAAGTAGCTAATGATATCAAGCCTCAGGTTTCAGCTGGCTCCGAGGATCTGCACACTAGGCCTCGGTTTGAGCCGGTTCAGCCTCCTACCCCACCCCCTCCGAAGGCCTCCCTAACAGCTCCAGGCTATGCTGAAGTGAACGGGCTGCGAGCAGACAAGGTCTTGTTTGTGTTAATGATATGTGATCCTGTGGACCAGGAGTTGACAGCCCAAGGGTAGACCAGTGGCATGCAGTCTGTCAAAGCATCCCACGTGGTTCATCAACTGGGGCTTTTTGGACTTTTGTGTATAAACGCATTTTTTTAAGCCATCCAAAAAACCTTTTTTCACATTATCTACCTCTGTATATAAGAAGACGAACAATGTGTCAATAAAAGTTGTATTTTTGCTGACTGAACTTTCTATTTCCTGTCGTACTCTCACTTCTTGTCTCCAGCTGCTCCCTCAACATAAATCATGTGCAAAGACTACTCACAGACCAGGATGTTTCTGCAGCTTTTCAGCGATTTTATTATAGATTCCATAAACAAAAATGTTTTCAAGGTTTCATACAAACTATATAAAAGATCATGCTCTGGCTCTTATACAAAGTTTGGAATTATAAAACATGTACCATCATGTCAGGTATAACATCATGTAAATGCAGTGGTAAAATAATTTAATATAGAGAAAAATCCCACAAAAATATGGCAGCAACATCATATATTTTCCAGTGCCATTATGGTAAGCTTAAAATACATCTGGTACAGATGGTAAAATGTCTGTTGAGGTATGTCTCCTAAAAGCTCAGTTCATAGAAAAATCAATCTGTCACCGGCTCTCTACATTCAAGGAGCTCGTAAAGGAGGAGTTGGGCATCTGCTTGAAGAAATCTCTGAGCCCGGTGAGCTCTCTGGTTAGCTGCTCGATAGTTTTATGAAGTCTGTCGTTCTCGGAGCTCAGTTCAAGCAGCTTCTGCTGCATGTCCAAGTTGCGCCTCTTGGCTTTGTCCCTGCTTTTCCTCACTGCTATGTTATTCCTCTCTCGCCTCTGTCGGTACTCCATGCTGAACCGGTCCACCTTCTTCCCCTTCTCTTTGCTGCTCTTCCTCGGAGAGGATTTGGCCGAGCTCACACTGGAGACAGGCTCCGGGGTGGTGGGGGGAGTCGGCTGCCCTGTGGGGAGGCTGACGGAGGTCTGAGCGCAGCTCTCGATCTGTGAGGGCAGGGATGAGGACATGTCGCTGTCACTCCAGTCGGACTCCTGCTTGATAGGCACAGCATACGAGCCTTTATTCAGCCCGATGTCAGCCTTCCGGTCTGCTGTGTACGCGGCTGACAGCTGCTGCATGCCGCCGGGCAGCACGGGGCTCTGCATGTTGTAGAAATCCACCTTCTCCTGCTTCACAGTGTTGAACAGGTCGAGGAAGAGCTCGTCGTTGCACAGCTCCAGGTTTGGCACGGCTGTCATGGACTCGATGTACTGGCTGAAGTCGATGGCACTCTCGTCGTCGTACATGGCAGGGGCGGTGCTCAGCTCCACCATGGTGCCGTCCTCGTCGCCCCTGCTGCCCGGCTTGCAGACCCCCTGCGGCGGGACGCCCAGCTTGGCGCTCTCGTAGAAGTTAGCAGGCTCCATCGCCCAACTCATGTTGCATTGTGGAGACACGCAGTGTGAGTCCAGGCTGTATATGTCACACATGAACACTGTTGACTCGCCCACGTGGTTTAGGAAGGATATAAACTTGTTCAAAAGTGACCCACAGATGTGACAGCACAGCAGCCCTGCAGCGGCTTCACTCTCTGTGCACGCGCGCTTCTTCCCTTAAAAAAAAAAGCGAATCTTTGAAATGTAGCCCTGGTCTTTGACTGTCAGGGTCTTGTCAGTGACAGCTCTGAATCACTCCTTGACACTTCTCTGAGGCATCTGTACTTTCGCGCAGTGTTTTGTATCGTTGCCCCGCTGACGTCACACGCGCCGCCCTCTCGCGAGCCAGTCAAGGCAAAACGGAGGTCACGTGGTGTCCGTTCACTTCCCATTTGAGGAGCGAAGGGCGTGTTGCTCATGCCACCCACTTTTTACTACGATAGTATGAATGGTGCAGAGTTGTTTACATACTGAGGGCTCTGGGTGTTTGGGAATAACTTTAATTTGTCAGGAGCTCTATAAACGTCTGTCTCACACACATTGTTTACTGAAGTAACAAACAACATTACACTGGGACCTGCTTTTAACATGTTAAAGTGTTATCAGCAAAGTATACACTAATCACATGCTCTTAATATGAAAAGTAACTAGCTGTAAGTAGGGGAGTAAAAAGTATGTTAACCTCGTCTGAAATGTGAAGTATAAAGTAGCGGAGAATAAAAACACTCAAGAACAGAACAAGCACCTTACAAATGTGCTTAAATACAACATGCTAGGCCTGCAGCTATTATTTTCATCATTGTCTAATCTGCTGGTTACTTTCATGATTAATTATTTCGTCTATAAAGTGACCAAAAAAGTGAGAAATACTTGTCACAATTTGCCAGAGCCAAAAAAGGAAAAGAAAAGCGGCAAATTCTCACATTTAAGAAGATGGAGCCGGTAAATGTTTGTTTTTGCTTTAGAAACGACTGAAACTGAACAACTGATCAATTAAAATAGCTGGTGATTCATTTGATTTAGTTATTAATCGATTAATCGTTGCAGCTCTGATATGCACTTTCCACCGCTGGTTTTAAAAGTGGTCAAGCACGCAAAGTGTTTCTTTGGGAAGACCACCAAACCATATAAACATGACTTGTATTCCATATATTATACTTCCACTGACCATGTGCAGCATTACTATTGTTATATGTATTGACAGCTAGATGACTACAGTCCTGATCTATAGTTTTAGTGTTTAAATGTCTGTCCCAGATGTGGTCAGATATACAAATTAGTAGTATATGAGGACATCAGATCAGTCGTGCAGAAGTATTGAAAGATGTGTAGCCAAACAGATTTCCTGATTCAACTTTATAGAAGCAATTAATTGATTAATTGCCTGACAGGAGTTAAATCTGCAACTGCTGTGACAGGCTAATCGATTAATCGTTTCAGTCAGTCAGTTTTTTTGAGGGCTTTTTGTGCCGTACAAAACCAGCGATTTCAAGATGTGTCTTTGGGCTCTGTCAAACTGTGATGGACATTTTTTCAACTGATTATAAATGACTAAAAATAAAATGTACTCCAGCTGCGATTCAGCAATTTGCGACTTAAAGCTTATGTTGGCCAGGGGCGTACATTGTCAGGGCCAGTAGCCTGTTCCCTACTTCCTCCAGCCCCCTCGCTCAAACCACACCCGTCTTAGATTCGCATTCGTTATTGCATTGCATTGACAGAAATCAGACAGACAGACGTGTAAACACCTGGCGAAGTACTCATAACTGCTTCTGTAAAATGTGTCACTAGGACATTCTGCCATCACCACACACACACACACACGCACCTTCCCAAGGTGGCCAAAACACCAACCATCACGACATTGACGCAGCAGGTAATAATTACCATTTCTCGTAGCCCCAGTGAACACATGCTGGGAATTTGGCTGATATTGTCTGTAGCTCTACGTTTACATGCAGCCAGAGAACAAATTTACAGAGGGACACAGAACAGGATACACATCTAAACAAAGACCAGAAGCTTAACAAACAAGCAAACTTAAACATACAGTACAGCTGTGGTACACAGACAACAAACAAGACAACTTTGAGCAAGATGTACTGGACATAGAGCCTTATAGACTGTCATTACAAGGTATTAACATCATTACATTTTACTATACAGATAGATAGATAGATAGATAGATAGATAGATAGTAAAAGTTTTGCATGCACCATATTATTGAGGTGACTCATGTTTACAGAACAAAATTAGGGAATGTGATGAACTGAAGGTGGTTGATTTTACCACAGGGGACACATGTACTGATACTTCTCGGAAACGCTCCTGTGTTTTCCCCCTCAGGAAGTGCGCTGTACTTTTCCTCTGACAAGGCCCTTTTTGAAATGGAAACTGCGCCACATGGTGGTCAGTGAACGCACTTGCTGGATAAAGTCAAGTAAAAATACTTCATATAAATGAAAGCCAAAGAAATGAATCATCAACATAATGAATGATGATTACATTTTGCAACAAAGAGGATTTGTTCCACTCACTTTTTAGAATGCCCCTACTTTAATTTAGTTTATTTAAAAGGGGGCAGTGCAAATTAATAGATACACATGGTATAAAAAATGCCAGAATTACCAAAAATGCTATTGTACATCTGTAATCCCTTGGCTAAAATGTTACCCAAAGCTACCTAAAATACAACAAAGCACAAAAAAGCACACAGGAAAGAAAAAGAAAACAGGATATACAGTATATAAAATACTTTGAACACATCAACAAGAAATTATTTAAACATGTAGCCTATTGCTCATCAAGTGTGTGAGTGTGAGTGCTAAAACTTGAGGCAAAACTGATGCAATATAAAAATGAAAAGCAATAGAGGCAGTAGTGACATATTCCACATGTAACAACACTGCAACCTGCTCTGAGAAAATTATTACCTTAACTACTTTAAAATTATGCACAGTTGGAAGTGATTTATGTCCAGCACCATCAAAAATCTATAACCTCTTGGAAATATTCAAATATATTTGTAAAAAAAATAATAATAATAATTTCAAGCTACTGTATTAAAAATGTGTTACTAAGTACAAAATCATATAAAAAATGCCATAGAATTAAATGCACCACGGTGAGATATGCGAGCCTGTATTGTTATATGCCTTCCACGTTTATAATCCGTTTGTATTGCAAGTATAAAACTATTTAAACAATGTATTGTGACGTATTTATTTATATTTATATGCAATTTCTCACTTCCTGTTTTCATTTTTTTATTTTCTTTAATTTTAGGAATTAACACTGTCACGTCACACGACTGTTCAATTTGTACTTTGCACTGTTTCAATAAAGAAAACGAAAAAAAAAAGGTCATTTATTTTTGGACCAAACCAAGTCAAGCTCAGGGTATCAATGTGTAAAAGCTCTCGCGCAGAAAGCAGAAGTCGTATTTTAAATATAAGATAAAGAAAACGTTTAGATTTATATCAATTTTGCACTGTTTGTGTCGTTTATTTATATATTTAATCATGTTTAATTAAAGTGTTAACCGCTGTAACTCAACATGAACCCCCCTCTGCAGTGAAGGAATCGGCCGGAAAGAAAACCACGATCACGGCCTGCTATTGGTCCAAAGTTCCCCGCGAAAATAACGTCACCCGCAGTTTCGCGCCAGATCTGCACCACTCAGACGTACACAGAAGAAGAGGTAAGAAACGTCTGAATTTGATTAGAATATTTCATATTAATTGATCGATCATGTTGATTGAATTCAACTGTCTGTTATCACACGTGTTTGTCTGACTGTGCATCAACTTTAAAGCTCAGTTTTAAATGTTAAATCGGGTTAAACAGCGCAGGAAGTTTCTGCTTATTGTTTCCTCTGCAGCCACATGTCAAATGGTGGAAACGTTGTTAACTGACTCATCATTTAATAAAAGGAGTAAAAACACAATAAGATAATTAAATATAACGTTTCACACGCACATAAGTGGCAGAATAGTCTGATCAATTACAAATAATGTGAACACACTTAAAGCCTTATTTTTGAGGAATTGGGAGTTAACTCATTGATGCATAAACATGTGAAGGAAAGCAGTATTTTAACTTTGATGGTTGGCTATGTGATGCCACAAAACCGTTTCATTATCCCTTTATGTAGTTTAAACTGTAGTTGCAAATATTTTTATTTCATTGCATGTTTTGCATTGCAGAGTTAAGCTGCAGAGAAACTAGAGGAGCCAGATGAATGTACTGAATAAAGATTAAGGAGTAAATTATGACATAATGGACATATTAAACCACAGTACTTGCAAACAAAGCCTACAACCTACAATGTGCATCAAATAAATGAGAAAATGAATGAACAAAACATGACTAATCAGAAATACAAGGTGTGTGACTTGGTGATTTGGTGCACAGCATTAATCACAGTGCAAATATAAGAAGACTCCATATAAAATCAGTTTTTAAAAAAAAGTTTATCGCAATAAAACAACACAATATTGAGGACTTTAAAGGACTCATTCTTACTTTCACAGTTAGGCCTAAGTTAAACATCAGCACCCTCAAATTTGACAAGTGAATACACCAGAAGTTATCAATCATATCTGATCTAGGCCTCACTTACAGGATTATGTTTAGCAGGTATAAGGGCACGAAAGTGGAACTAAAAGACAGTATTAAACCAAAAAAGTTAGGTGGGAGAAAACAAAATTTCTGTTCAGGCCCTGCAAGACCGAGCAGACTAAAACAAAAGCAATAACTTAGTAAACAAAACAACATGCAGAGCAGGACTGCAGTTTTTTACAAATTCAGTTGATCTACCTGCAACAGTCAGCCTTGTAAAATGTTGTGGCTGCACAAAAAACAAACTCAGTTGCCAAGCGGTTGAAAATCATCCACCAGGTGTTATGCTGTTATGCAAAAAAAAAAAAAAAAAACACCTGACAAACCAAGTTTTTGTTTTACTTACCCTGCACATGTCAGTAAAAATAACAGCAGCCTTTCTTTCGACTAAACATTAATTCACTCATTCATTTTATCTTCAGATATATTCCAGCAACTATGTCTTCCCCAACGTCGACTCCAGGTGGCCGCAAACGAGGAAGGGACACCGACCCAGCCACACGTAAGTTCACGTGTCCTAAATGATATGTGACTCTGTCCTCATCTGAGATTGTAGGTGGTGAATGTGGGTCCTGTCTGTGTGTTCTGTTATTAACATGTCTCTGTGTCTTGTGTATCCTCAGCCAGCAGCGAGGGCCCCACCTCGCCTCCCTCTCA